ACGGCGCCGCGCGTGCATTGTGCCCCGCCGGCTCACCACTGCCCCACATGTGCTCCTCATGCACGCATGCATTACCGTCTCCGGGCGCGGCAACTGTCAAGGCCGTCAGTCCCGTAAGTGTGGGGCACGTGTTTTCCTCGGGATCTTCCCCCGCTGGATGGTGAGGTACAGCGCCGAACTACGTCGGCATGGGGGGATTTTCCACAACCAGGCATCTCCCACCAGCGGAGCACCGAGACAAGCTCCCGACATGTGCGGTAGTATAGTGCATGTAAATATGTGTGTTAGTAAGAGATGGAGATAAGACAAGGAAGAGGATCCCGGTCCGTAGCCCGTTTGTCAGGGCATTCGCCTGGTGTTGATTGGAGAAACGAAGGGAAAATACCGATAAGTGCAGTCGGCCGCTAGATTTTTTCCTCCAAACAGCGGTTAACTTGGACCTAGCTAAGTAGCTGTAGAATGTGGAAAATTGCCACCACCGGAACTCGAACCCCAAGTCCTCCCGGATGGAGTGGCTGCGGAGACAACAGTCATGAGCCAGTCTCTTCGTGGAGATGAGGCTCCGCCCACGGTATGATTGTTAGGGCAAGGCCCCCAGGGCCCCCTGCTCATCCTCTTTCGCCCCCCCCCACTCCCTTACCCATTTCCCTTTCGCGGAGTCCGTCTTTACTCTCCCCCCCCCCTTCGCCGACTCATTTCGACCCCCTTCATTTTCGGGGTTTGCTTGGTCGCAAGGATTCTTTTTAATGATTCCGAGTTTTAAATAATGATGGAGAGTAGTTTACTATAAATTATAATTATTGTAGTTAGTATCATTCTGAGTGCAGATGTTGAAGTAAAATAAAAAAAAAATACTGCAAACTACCTGCTCAAAGTCAGCATTGCCAATGTTTAGAGCTGCAGTGACTCAGTCCGCGAAGGCCTAGGGTTTGACACCTGGCGGGTTTTCAGGGACTATTAGCTATATAGCAGAGGTAGTGTTCATCGGTTGTTTGAAAAAGAATTTTAAAGGTCGGTTGCTCCAATAGTTTGTTATGTGTGGACTCCGATCAACACCAGGCTAATACGAAATGTACCTAAACAAAAGGGCCACAAACCGTGCTTGATTATTTCTTACCCTTCCTTAACATATAGTCTCCCCTTACTCAAACACTCCTACAGGTACTATCCATATCAGGAGATTAGTTTGGGGCTTAGCTTGTCCCGGCTGGATAGTTGCTCTTCTGCTGACCTGGACAGATATATCCCCCCTCCCGTTCGCAGGTTGACAGGAAGGTCCGCGCGAAATGTCAGCATCCAGCAGGGAGAAACACCGTCATCCCTCCGGACAGTTTTTAATGCTGGCAGTGCTACACTAGTACACTAATCACCACACGTATTCTCTATACTAACAACCATCGCAGGCATATTATTCAGTCAGTCAGTTACAAACTGAAACATTCTGCCGCGTTCTATTGAGCTCCCAGCACGATGCTCCGATTTCAAAAATTGAAGCTCCCGATTGGATAACAGAGCCTCCCCTCCTCCTAACTCACCAAGAGCAGCGGAATTCTTAATTGGAGAATACAAAGCGTTACCCTAACGTCGTATGGAGTAAGACGATTCAGTCCAGTGCAGGGGGCTGGCAGCCGCCTCCGTTTAATTGTGGGACGAAACACGGCAATGGCTGGCGCTCTCAATGCTCACGAAGTCTACTTTTGATAATGAGGAGCACAAGGCCGTAACTATGTATTTCCACAGTACGTCGATCAATGAGACGGGCTTCACAAAATATTCACCGAAACAACTTTTCATTTAAATGATTTATTATAGTGACTATGCTGATTTTGAAGTTGTGTATTTAAAAACATATTAAAAAGAAAACATTCAAATTATATTTTTATAGATCTTTCTACAAGTTTTCACTAGAACAACCGTTTATATTTTAAAAAAATTAAGTTTAAATTTATAGACAACCTATAAAATATTTTGTCTAAATAATATGTTATAGCAAATATTGTTAAATGAATTCAAAATTATATTCCACGGAGACTCATATTTGTAATTTCTTCCTCTGCTGCGGGCCGTCCTTCATTCCTGACAGGCGAAGGTCATTCCTGACGTCCTGACAGTCGAAGGGCCTCTGCCGCCCTCAGGGCCTCTGCCGCTACCAATTGGCATTTGCAAGTGATGCACCGAAGCAGTGCTCTCCCGCCGGTGCGAAGCTGAAGTGCCATTCCAAAAGCAAAGCTATATCCCAAACGTCCAGCTGTATCTCAAAAGCAAAGCTATATCCCAAATGCAAAGATATATCCCAAAATCCCAGCTCTATCCAAAAGCAAAGCTATATCCCAAACGTCCAGCTGTATCTCATAAGCAAAGCTATATCCCATATGCAAAGATATATCCCAAAAGCCAAGCTCTATCCAAAAGCAAAGCTATATCCCAAAAGTCCAGCTGTATCCCAAAAGCAAAGCTATATCCCAAATGCAAAGCTATATCCCAAAAGTCCAGCTATATCCCAAAAACCAAACCCATATCCCAAAATGAAAGCTATATCCCATAAGCCCAGCCATATCCCAAAAACCCAGCTATATCCCAAAAGCCCAGCCATATCCCAAAAACAAAGCTATGCCCTAAAAGCAAAGCTATATCCCTAAGCAATGCTATATCACGCCACTGTATCACATTTGAAAATCATTCCATGTAGTTTGATCAGTCTTCTGCCATCTGCCTTCATCGCCCTTGACGCAGGGGAAGGCGGTGGCAAACGCGACGTATTGGTACCCCCTCCTGGGCTGGCAGAGCCAGGCCATTGCGTGGTCGGAAACATCTCCAGAACCGTTTTTCTTCTCCTAAAAACATGTAAACATCATGTATCAATACGTTTCTGGAATTTGTTTGTTTACCCTGAATTTCTAGTATTTCTGCAGCCTTCCGCCAGGGTTGACGTATGGGAGAAAAGGAAATCGAGCAATGGTACCTTATATACTTACTTATTTAATTCTTATTTTTGATCAGATTACCTTTTCACCTTTCTCACCCCCTTAGAGACCCGCCCCTTTCTAAATCTCTTGCCATTCCCATTAAATTTTCCCTATAATTATATTATCTTAGGATGGGATGAGACCAAAATCGCCTGTGTACCAAGAAATAGGTAAAAGCCTGTTTACCCTGAATTTCTAGTATTTTGTAAACTCTTCCACTTTTTCTATAACGTTTTGGCTCCTGAAAATATAGTTTTGTTTCTTAAAAGTCGGAAATTTTGTCAATCTCGAGTTATGGTCGCCCCTCAGCTGTGGCCGGTGGCCCGTCTCGTGGGTTGGATTGCACATTGTCGCCCCAACCGGAAAGGGGAGTGTCTCGGGGCGCGGTAGGGATAGGAAATGGGTTTAGGGGTGATACGTAATGGTTGGAGTGTCTCACCATTACTCAATACATATCCGTGTTTAGCTTGAATTTGATCAGTGGCGACTCGTGCTTACGTTGCACAACGATAACCGATAAAGACCGATATAATAATAATCGAAGGAAATTGGCGATTTTAATAAGAAAAAACTCGTATTATGGAGCGCTGAAAAAGTACATAAATCTTGTCCCTTTACTAAACTACTACCTCTAACACGTAGTCTAGTAAGAATATACGTACTGTAGGTCCTGGATACAGAAAAATTGGTTTACGACAAAACATCTATCTGTCAGTCCATGTGTGGCCATCATTAACGCCTAAACCCTTCTGAGGAATTTCTCCAAAATTGATAATCCCCAATCGACCTGTCCAAAGGCAAGGTCTCGCGAATTTGAAACATATTTTTATTTTTCGGTTTACTTCCCATGAAGCTTTAAAATTTTGTCCAAAAGGCTCCAAACATTTCATTCCCCTCCTTTCAGATACCGCAAAGGTCGCTTGCAAAAACGACGCATAACGCAATTTCGTTGAACTCTGAAGTTACGAAAATATTGCGAGAAAGTATGTTCTGTTGCAGTTGTTTGAGTAGGAATTCATGAAAACTTACAAATCCATATATTATTGTGTTCGTTCTCAATATACGAGTCGGCAGCCATGTCGCTCCAGTGTTTTGTTTACTTTGTAGTACCCAGTTGTTTTATATGGTCACGACTATATTTTGCTTACTGCAAAGCAACACTTTGCCACAAAGAATATTTATTTATGCATGAAGAGCGTTATAAGAGTTCTAATGATCGGGTGGCAATCATTACAATCAATTAGCGCCCATGGTACATATATGATTTTTTACGTCATTTTAATGCTTCATATATACTTATTAGGTATTTAACTTCTTGTTAACTCGACTCGGTTTGTCGTTTGGAATATCTCTCTCATAATTCCCTCCATTAGAGAACATGTAGAACACGCAACTGTTTTCATTTTTCCCTCGTAACGACGATCATCTAGATCCAGGTAAGTTAAATACCGAGCTCCGTATCGAAGGCAACAACAAGCAATAGCGCATCAGTAAAAAATAAACACTTTTATTCAGTGACGTTAAGCACTAGTTGAGAGGTGAAAAAAAGGCATGGAAAAGTGGAAGCCCATATTGGCGTACGCGCTAACGGAAGGCACGGGAGGGAGTGCGTGGCGTGCGTGCCTGCGGGAGCCCTGGCGTCGGAGGAAAGAGGCGGCTGGCGGCGGAGTCGGAGTGGCCTGCTGGTCAGCCCGCGCGGGGGGCGGGG